AGAGAGAGAGAGAGAGAGAGAGAGGGAGAGAGAGAGAGAAACTCCTGGGCTGTTTGTATGAATTAAATTATATATATTTGTTGTTGTATTATGTTGTTGTTGTTGTTTTTTCCCCCTTTTTTTATTCAAAGAGCAATATTGTACATTGTTTTATCAAGAAATAACATCAAAAAGAAGAAAGGAAAATAAAAAGCAAAAGGAGAGAAAAATAAATGACAAAAAATAGGAGTTGCCAGGGTGAGGTGCGTATAAAAGTTCAAAATAAAGACACAATATATGCATACATACATATCAAAAATTAACAAAAATTATACAAAATTAAGTCTCTGATGTCTATATGTATATTTCAGTCAACAAAACCATACAGTTGTGTTTCTTATTAGTAAATTTAAACTTATGAATGTGAAATTTGGTCAACGGTATAAGTAAATTAATTTAATAAAAATACTGTTCCTCTTGCATGAGATGCGTATATATATATATATATATATACATATAAGATAATCTAAGACAAGGTAGGGGAGTAGGAGGCTCTCACATTATGAAACCAAAATCCTCTAATAAAGTATAATAAAGTTTATAAATATCCTGCGTCTCCAAATAAATTCCTCTTAAAAAAACATTAATTGTGGGGGAGTTTTGATTTCAGCAAAAGCAACCAATTATTTATTACATATGATATATTTGTTATCCTTAAATAACAAACCAAACTTAAGATTTCAATTGTTCCTTTCTCTTTGGAGTGTTACAAGCTCTTGGTGCATAAAGAAGATCTGTTCTTTAATGATTTCCCATGAGAGGATCCTTGAGGCTCTCAAGCTTTGCCGCCCATCTCATCCGCGCATGCGCAGTCAGAGTGAGCGGGAGATTGAGGTCTCTGCAGAGCACAAGAGGGCGCTTCTGAATGTATCGGTGTTTTCAAACGGCAGGGTGTTTCTCAATCATGCAATCAAAATGATTCCCCTTACCTAACCCCACCCCTAAACCCTCCGTCACTATGGCGTCAGCCAATCAGGAAACACGGTCTAAAAACGCCCCGATCTGGTAACGCCCATAACTGTCCTGCAGAGACCTGTACTTGGGTGAGCGGAGGCGGAGCGGCCCGCGCATGCGCACCGCGGCAGGACAGCTTCTGCCCCTCCATGACATCCAGCGGGACGGAGCGACTGCTGCTGCGCTATCCTCAAATACATGCTCCGCCTAACCCCGCAGCCCTCCTCCAGCTCCGGGACCGCTAGATAATAACGCGCAGACCGCGGCGCTTCGGTGATTGATCGGGGTTCGTCGAGGATGAGGCTGATCGAGACGCGTGCGGATGGAGAGGAGAAGCGCGAGCTGCCGCCTCCGTTCAGAAACCCGTTCGCGCACGAGCTGCGGTTCACGGCGGCGCAGAAGCTGCAGGTAGGTGTGGAGCTGGTGTGGAGGACCGCCTGTAGCAGTGCTCTCCTCTCCTCTCCTCTCCTCTGCTGCTGCTGCTGCTGCTCTGGAAGCCGAGGGTCCTTCCTCTGCTACATGTTGCGCTCGCAGAAGAACCAATCAGGACGCGGCCTTTGTCTGAACCAGAAGTGTGCCACATCTATCTTTCTATCTGTCTATCCATATATCTATCTATCTATCTGTCTATCTATCTATCTATCTATCTATCTATCTATCTATCTATCTATCTATCTATCTATCTATCTATCCATCTATCCATCTATCTATCTTTCTATCTGTCTATCTATCTATCTATCTATCTATCTATCTATCTATCTATCTATCTATCTATCTAAATACACAAAATAATGTTCTTTTTAGCAGCGTCATATGACCTCTTTAATGATTTCCCATGAGAGGATCCTTGAGGCTCTCAAGCTTTGCCGCCCATCTCATCCGCGCATGCGCAGTCAGAGTGAGCGGGAGATTGAGGTCTCTGCAGAGCACAAGAGGGCGCTTCTGAATGTATCGGTGTTTTCAAACGGCAGGGTGTTTCTCAATCATGCAATCAAAATGATTCCCCTTACCTAACCCCACCCCTAAACCCTCCGTCACTATGGCGTCAGCCAATCAGGAAACACGGTCTAAAAACGCCCCGATCTGGTAACGCCCATAACTGTCCTGCAGAGACCTGTACTTGGGTGAGCGGAGGCGGAGCGGCCCGCGCATGCGCACCGCGGCAGGACAGCTTCTGCCCCTCCATGACATCCAGCGGGACGGAGCGACTGCTGCTGCGCTATCCTCAAATACATGCTCCGCCTAACCCCGCAGCCCTCCTCCAGCTCCGGGACCGCTAGATAATAACGCGCAGACCGCGGCGCTTCGGTGATTGATCGGGGTTCGTCGAGGATGAGGCTGATCGAGACGCGTGCGGATGGAGAGGAGAAGCGCGAGCTGCCGCCTCCGTTCAGAAACCCGTTCGCGCACGAGCTGCGGTTCACGGCGGCGCAGAAGCTGCAGGTAGGTGTGGAGCTGGTGTGGAGGACCGCCTGTAGCAGTGCTCTCCTCTCCTCTCCTCTCCTCTGCTCTGCTGCTGCTGCTCTGGAAGCCGAGGGTCCTTCCTCTGCTACATGTTGCGCTCGCAGAAGAACCAATCAGGACGCGGCCTTTGTCTGAACCAGAAGTGTGCCACATCTATCTTTCTATCTGTCTATCCATATATCTATCTATCTATCCATCTATCTATCTATCTATCTATCTATCTATCTATCTATCTATCTATCTATCTATCT